TTATTTAGATTTTATTTACATTTGTTTGAAAGATTTATAATTGTTTGCTTTAATTTTATATAATTGATGTCTCTTAATCTTAAGATGCAAATAAAAGTGTGAGTGAGATTGGTTTTAATGGTAAAAATGTTGAGGAGGTTCGAAATATATTTCCAATATGTATATTTGTTGCCTTTTTCAATATATATATTTGATGTTATAATTATTTGACAGTTTAAAAAAACTTAAATTTGATTTTTGTATTTTATATTTAGAAAATGAAGAAGGTCTATATTTTTTTTAAAGAAAAATTTAAGATTTTGGAGACAAAAATGAAACAAAAAAAACTCAAAATACCAACTTTGAATGGAATTGTTTGAGGATCAATTACATTTGGTTTAGAGTATTCAACCTCTCTTCTTTTGTTTAAACTATATTTTGTCTAAGTTTATAGTTATACCTATTTATCTACTATAAGTATTTTGTAATTTTTTTAAGTTTGTGCAAAATTCTTCTAGACTAAATCAACTTTTTTTTTTGTGGATTTCTACTAAATTTTTATTTTTTATATCTATTTATGATAAAAGAATACCATTTTAAGGTATATATTAAAAATTCTTTATTTTATTTTACTAAAAAAGGAAAAAAAAACCATACATGAAAATAAATCTATGTCTATTAAGTAATCAAGCATGAAAATATAAAATAGGTTTTAGAATTGATTTAGCTTCAATGTTGGACAGAGACCCGACACAGACGTGGTGTTTACACATAATTTTGGTGTCGACACCAAACGGAAGACCTGAGCATCCAGAATCTCGACACGGACGTTGTGTTGACACATAATTTCGGTGTCGACACCAAATGGAAAGGCTGAGCATTAGTAAGGCAATGCTGAAATATTTTATTTAATAATTAAATTTTAATCATTAAAGTGTATAAATAACTATTTTAAATTTTCAAAAGACTAAATATTTATAAATAGTTTTAAATAAATTTTAAAAATATACCAAATCGTTCTTAATAAACTAAACCTTAATTAAATAAATAATAGATATTAATTATCTAAATAAATAAATAATAAATATTAATTATCTAATTAAATAAATAACAAATACTAATTATCTTATATTCAAAAGTTAAATAAATACATATGATAATCCTATCAAAACTGATAGTCATTTTGAACTTATCCACTTCTATTATCAGACTTTCGGATAATTTTCTAGTTCAATAAATACTTCTTCAATCTATTTTTTTGTGATTTAGCGTCAATATTCTTAATAATATAGTCTCCTTTCAAAATGAAAGTAACATCGTTGTTCTTCTTTGTAATTTCTTCCCACTTATCCTTCCTAGGAGTGCTAATATTTTTCTTAACCATTTCTACTGCTGGTTCGGTTGAGGTGATCAGAAAATCTACTAAATCAAACAGGTTAATCAAGCTTTTGCCAAAAAGTCTACTAAGTTCTGCTATTGTTGTTGCTCTCTAAACTAATTTTTGTTACTTTTTCTTCAGCAAAATTTGATTTTTGGTGTTCAAAATTATTTAGGTTAGGAATAAATAGTAGTTATCATTTTCAAATTTGAAATAGAAGAAGTTACTTTTATTGACCTACTTCATTGAGCAGTTTTATTTTAACGTGGGGTATTGGATGAGATTAGTACTAATTCCAGAACCTTCAAAAATAGTTTATAACAGTTTAACCTTTGTTTTATAAGTTTATTAATTAGTTCTCAATTTAATCAAGCTTTTGTTAATCAATTTCTATTAATCTCTTGAGCCTTGCAATTCTAAAGATGAGTAATCCGGTGCATGATAAGCTCCCATTTGGCTTCTTAACATATGTATTCAAAGATTGTACAGCAAAAATGGTATTTTTTTCTTATTTTCCTTTTATCTTTTTTGTTTTTTATTTGTTAATAATTGTTTAGAATACCATTATTAATTCAATTTAATAGTCTTCATCTTTATTTTAGCTTTTTTATTTATGGTTTTACAGAGCATCCCAAAAGAAATCTATGATGAACTTCTTAGTGATAAACCAACTGTTTCCCTTCGTGGTGTTTGTGGCAATAAATGGGAAGTAGCTGTTTATAAAACAGGTTTTGGCAATGGATGGAGTAAGTTTGTAATAGATAATCATATTGCGGATGGTGACACTATTGTTTTTATAAATGTTGGAGATGGTATCTTCCAATTTTATATTTTTAATGACAAAGGTTTAGCTTTTCGGCTATGGCCTTCTAATGGTGGTGCAAATTCAACCTTTGAGATTAAAAGGAAGAGATCTACTGATGGTAAGTATTTTTAATTTTTACTTATTTCAAAATTAATTAATTGATTCATTTGAATATTCTTTTGTATTTTTAAATTTCTTAAAGATGTTGATAGTTTATAAATTTATATATGTTAGATTCTTCATCAAACTTGGGACGAAGGGATGTCATAAATCTTAAAGATGAAGATGA